TAATCCATTCACTACTGCATGGTCCTATAATCCAATCACCTCTTCAAGGCTCTACCTTTCAATTACCGTAATAGGATTTCTGCCCCTATGGCCTCTTAATAGTCACAAGTGGGTGCTAAGTTTCTAATCCATACAACTTGGGGGACACAATTCAATGAGGCTTCAGTGAGTTTTGGGGGGAACATAATAGGATTTCCCACCCTCTTAACAGTCACAGTGGGGGTTAAGTTCCTAATATATAAAACTTGGGAGACACAATTCAAGCTTTGATGAGTTTTGGGGGACATAATTCAATCCACTACACTGGCTTTTTGATTTTTTTACATCTGGACATCTTCCTATTTCTCTAGGATCTTCCACCTTAAAGGCTTAGGTTTTCTTTATAGCCTAGCTCTTTGATTCCCCCTCTCCCCACAACGAGTGTGGACCCACTTTGTCTTCAAAGACTGCCTTGCTCCAAAGCATCCAATTCTAGAAGTCTGAAGAAAATTTTCCATCCCTGCAAGTGTCTTCTGCTGAGATGTCCCACAGAGACTCTCTCCTCTTTCTTCCTCCACAGATCTGTTTATTCAGTACAGCCCTGATTCTTCCACCAGACCCAAAGTAAAATTACCCACTTCTGTAGAGAAGAGCGCAGTGAAGACGGAAGGTAACATCAATAGACCAGAACCGCGTTTTCTCCCACCCAGCTGTATGTACCCAATGATAGATTCCAGAAATACTTCAGTTTCCAGCAGATGCAAGAACTTTCCAACATCCGGAACCTTAGCTACAAACAGGTTAAGACCTGGTTCCAGAACCAGAGAATGAAATGTAAGAGGTGGTAGAAAAACAACTGGCCCAAGAATAGCAACAGCGTGGCTCAGCAAGGCTCAGCACCTACAGAATACCCGGGCCTCTGTTCTTCCTATCAGAACACATCTGATCTGGACGCCTTCCAGTGTGGAGCAACCAGATGTGAACCACCCAACTTGGAGCAATGAAAGCTGGAACAGCCAGTCTAGGAGCAACAATTCCTGGAACAGTCAAAACTTGGTGCACCCAAGCCTGGAACAATCAGGCCTGAACAACCCATTCCAGAACTATGGAGAAGAAACTCTGCAGCCCTGCAGGCAGTTCCAGCAAAATTATGCCAGTGATTTGGAGGCCACCTTGAAAGCTGCTAGGGAAAGCCATAACGTAATACAGCAAATCACTAAGCATTTTAGTAACAAACCATGGATTTATTTTTTAATTACTACATGAACACACAGCCTGATGATGTGTGACAATGGGTAAATTATTCAGTTTCAGCCTGGGAAGTGGCTGAATTCCATCCTTTCTTCCTCATACAACTTCCCTTGTTTTATTTATTTATTTATTTGACTTTCCTTGTTTTAGAGCTATGTATCTCTGTCTTGATCTCTTGGTTCTAGTTGTGATTATTTTATCAATTGGGGGGTGAGGTATGATTGAAGTCTAATCAGAGGTTTCAATAACATTTGCTACTGTGGACATGATAGATGACTTTAGCTATAGATAAGTAGATATAATACTAGTTTGGATATTTTAGAATCTAACCTCAAGGGTAGAAAGTAAAAAATACAGAGATGTGATGAAGGGTTATTCCTATTTTCTGGGATTGGGAGGCTTTATTTAATAAACCACAAGGTGCTTCATTGATTTCCTCCACCCCATTTGTCTCTGTGTTACTACAACCCCTAATTTGTTCCTCACTCTAACGTCTGTATGTTGCTGTACCTTGTTAATATCAGTACCAGTGTGGCTGGTTTAACAAAATATCCATTTTACCTTTAAAATAAGTAAAGCTGAGCCGGCCTGTGGCTCACTCGGGAGAGTGCGGTGCTGATAACACCAAGTCAAGGGTTCGGATCCCACATAGGGATGGCCGGTTCGCTCACGGGCTGAGCGTGGTGCTGACAACACCAAGCCAAGGGTTACGATCCCCCCACTTCATCTTTAAAAACAAAAAAACTTGAAAAAGAAAATGCAGGAGGACAATAAACTGACAAAACAATGGCGAAAATTTTTCCAAATTTTATTAAGACCATAAACCTTCAGTTTGAAGAAATTCAATGAACCCCAAACAGAATAAACAAAGCTCAAAACAATATAAAACCAATCACTATATTATTTAAGAATAAATACATATATGGTAAAAACAATAAAGAACAGCAAGAGCAAGATTAACCAAAGTTCAGGATAGTGGTTACCTCTGGGGAGAGGGGTGGGGGATTTAAAGGCTTCAAATGTATTAGTGAATTCTTTCTCTTAAGTGACCCAGGAGGTAAATAAGTACTTATTTTCTTTAAATTGTATACATACAAAATATGTTTGCATGTATGATAGGGTAGGATAGTGGGTGGGTCGAACACCCTGGACTCTCAAGACTAGTAGACTTTGAGTCCTTCTTCTGTCGTTCTGGGGTAGGATAGTGGGTGGGTCGAACACCCTGGACTCTCAAGACTAGTAGACTTTGAGTCCTTCTTCTGTCGTTCTGGGGTAGGATAGTGGGTGGGTCGAACACCCTGGACTCTCAAGACTAGTAGACTTTGAGTCCTTCTTCTGTCGTTCTGGGGTAGGATAGTGGGTGGGTCGAACACCCTGGACTCTCAAGACTAGTAGACTTTGAGTCCTTCTTCTGTCGTTCTGGGGTAGGATAGTGGGTGGGTCGAACACCCTGGACTCTCAAGACTAGTAGACTTTGAGTCCTTCTTCTGTCGTTCTGGGGTAGGATAGTGGGTGGGTCGAACACCCTGGACTCTCAAGACTAGTAGACTTTGAGTCCTTCTTCTGTCGTTCTGGGGTAGGATAGTGGGTGGGTCGAACACCCTGGACTCTCAAGACTAGTAGACTTTGAGTCCTTCTTCTGTCGTTCTGGGGTAGGATAGTGGGTGGGTCGAACACCCTGGACTCTCAAGACTAGTAGACTTTGAGTCCTTCTTCTGTCGTTCTGGGGTAGGATAGTGGGTGGGTCGAACACCCTGGACTCTCAAGACTAGTAGACTTTGAGTCCTTCTTCTGTCGTTCTGGGGTAGGATAGTGGGTGGGTCGAACACCCTGGACTCTCAAGACTAGTAGACTTTGAGTCCTTCTTCTGTCGTTCTGGGGTAGGATAGTGGGTGGGTCGAACACCCTGGACTCTCAAGACTAGTAGACTTTGAGTCCTTCTTCTGTCGTTCTGGGGTAGGATAGTGGGTGGGTCGAACACCCTGGACTCTCAAGACTAGTAGACTTTGAGTCCTTCTTCTGTCGTTCTGGTTCAAAATTTTTGTCCGTGATCGTTCTGCTCCGCATTAGAGACCAGGTGCCTTTATGAATCTCTGAATCCTCAGTGTCCAGCACAGGGCATGACCAAGGGCATATGTCCAGGAAATAGGACGTATGGCTAACCCCATGAGTCCTTCAGGTCTGACTCAGTCACCTCGAGAATCTCTCTTCCCAGACACATCCTTTAGTTGTCTCCGTGCTCCTCACCACGGGTCCCCAGACTTGGTGTTCTCTGTATTGTGGGCTCAAAAAACATTTGTCAGATGCAGCATGACTCCCCTGAGCAGGTACCAGGTCCAGGAATACTCTTTGAAGCCTCTTCATTCACCTGTATGGTTTATTTCAACATTTGAGGATTACTAGATATTCCGCTCTCTTACTGGGCTCAGGGGTCACCTCCTCCAGGAAGCCTTTCTGACTTTCCCCTTTAGAGGCTCCTCTTCCCCATGGCCACTGCACCTAGGTGGACCTCTCAGCCCCTAGCCAAGATGGCCTCATGAGCACAGGAACCAGACCTGATACATCTCTGTATGGCCATCACCTGGCAGTGCTTGTCTCAGCTCAGGCAACAGCTGTAGAGGGCACCATCTCTTAGGAAAGAGACCCACCTCAGAAGCAGACAGATCCTGGTGGGGATCCCAGCTCTGCCACTTGATAGCCTGGCCAAGTTGCTTTCTCACTGTTAGCTTGCTGGCCAGTAAAATGGCCTACTGAGTCCAGAAAATGAGGTTCTAAACTACCTGGCTGAGTTGCCAGGATAGTCATCATCTCCTCAACCCCAGGGGAGAGCAGGGCAAAATAGCCCCCTTAATATCTGGTACTTGGTAGCCCAGGTACCTGGGCTAAGTGTGGGGGTGGTAGTGTAAGGCATCCTTGAATGCCCCAGCCTAATGTCCTCCCCTCTACCCCCAGGTCACCTAGAAAACAGCCTAAAATAAGAATTAAATACTGGCATTGTATTTGGAAGGTGCAAACTCAGGTGCAAGTGAGGTACTGCGAGGTGACACGTTCCCAGGCTGGGCACTGCTTCCTGACAAGCCTGAAGAGGCACAGCAGGTGTCCACTGGCTCTTGGGAGGACTCCCCATAGGCTGTACTATTTTGGAGAAATGGTGCCCTGTAGCAATTCATGGAAGGGAGGGAAAATGGGGAAATTTATCTGCCTGGCTCTCTCCTACCTCCCATTTCCCAGTAGTTAAATTTTACTTCATAAGTATTAACTCCCCCATACATCTAGGTTGCTAGTGGCTACATAGGGTGCCAGACCCCACGTCCTGTGGTGGGGCATTCCATCCAAGTCTGGAAGTGGTGGGAAGAGGCGGAAACTCTGGACATGGGGCTGGCGAGTGCCAGAGAGAATCTGATACAGTACATATCACGTGTCCAATACTGTTCTCATTTTCCAGAAGAGGAAACAGGGCATAGTGATCAAAGATCACATGGCTAGTAAGTGGTAAATTCAGGATTTGAATATATAGTCTGGCTCTGGAAACTATGGAAGACCAATATAAAGAACTTTGATTTTATGTAGCAGGCAAAGGAGAGTCACTAAAGGGTTTCAAGGTGGGGGGTGACATGAGAAAAAGAGCGTTTTAATAAAGCTCCCAATCTCTATTGTGCTCAACCTTCCCTTCTAGCTAAACTGAGGCAGAAATAGGTGGCCCCAGAGAGGTGACGGCATCCAAGACAGTCTTTGAGGGTTTCGAGGAGACACTGACTGGGTCCACAGCTTCATTTGGGCTTCCACACTGCCTCATAATCTCTGTCATCATCTAAGCCTACACCTACCAAAGAGACAAGCTGGTCAGAAGCAGGCAGGATCTGGGCAGAGAAGCCAAAATGAGGGGAAGAGGAGATTGACCTAAAGACCCGGAGCGAGGGTACCATCCATCCATCCATCGTTGGTCTGTCTGTCTGGAGATCCTGGCATCCGTTGATGAATCCTTTGATGCTGCCTGAGATGGTCGGATCTCATGAATGGTGGGCCGCACTGAGCACATCTATGTGGTCGGTATTTGGTGTGTATCCGCATATGTCGTCCAAGCTCATCAGAACGGAAGAAAGACCACATACAGCCTCATCAGAACGGAAGAAAGACCACATACAGCCTTCCCAGTGGCATCTATAGGGCCTCTCACCTGGGGGGTGGGGAACAAGGGACAGATGGAATTAAGTTGACAGATGGGCCAGGAGGTGGGGAGAAAGGGGTCTAACTTAGAGGCAGAGCAGTCAAGGTTGGGGTATCAAAAGGAAAGATATAAGAAACCAGCCAGGGGCAACACAACCACTAACACGCCCACCATCATCTTGGCACAGTCATTCTGGATGGCAAGTCAGTGGGGCCAAGCCTGAAGATGGAGGGCTAATCCCGAACAATTACAAACCAGCGGTCCAGCTCAAATCTAAAGCCTGGAGACTCCTTCTCCATCCCCACCCCACCTGACATCTCACTCACCTGTGTGTTTGCGTTGGTGATTCACAAGGTGGGAGCGCTTGGTATAAGCTTTTCCACAGTTCTCATACTGGCAACAATAGGGCCTTGAATCTGGGGATCCCCTCCTGTGTGCCCTTCCCTGGGCTCTGGGGTTTTGCTTTGCTCTCTGTGGAGCAGGTATGGGCTGCTCAGGTAAGAAGGGGTCTTCGTGGGAGTCTGGCTGGCTCACATGAGAGTCCTGGGATTCTAAATCCAGCAATGATTGGGACCCAGATGGTGGCATCTGGTTGTGGGGATCTCTAGGGGGCAACATTTGAGCCAGAGAGGTGAGCAGAGACTGGGGCTCAGTGGAAGGCATGGTTGGGGCCAATAACATTTTAGGTGTTAAAGAGGCTGTATTAGAAGGTACTGTTGAAGGATCAGAATAAGGAATTGTTGGGGCCATGCTGTGGGACATCATTGGGATTCCACTAGAAGTTGAGACTGGCAGCCCATTGGGGGGCATCCTTAGATTCCCACTGAAGGTCATGGCCACTCCTGGAATATTGGGTTCACCTAAGGGCGTCAGCTGAGGCCCCTTGAAAACCATCATCCCTGGCTGGGAGGGAGACACTCCCTGACAGTAGATCATCTGGGAATGAGTGAGAGTTGCTTGGGGGCAGTAGCCCACACCATGCTCAGGCAGTGACATAGTGAACTGTGCCCCAACTTCACTGGCATTCTGCCTGGGTGCCCCAGCAGGCACCAAGGGGCTCTTGACATCTCTGTCCCCTGATGAAAGTGCTGAATGCCTGGTGGGCCATGGTTCCAAGAGGTGTACACTCCACTGCTTCTGGAAGTTGGAGATATGTCCAAGATGGACATTGACTTCTTGTTATCCTTGGAGAGAGAGAGTCAGGTGAGATTCACCCTAGCTCAAATCCAGTTCCACATGTCCCTCTTCCCCCTCCCAAACCCCATTCCTATCCATGCCTCCGTCATCTCTTGCCTGAAGTATCCTGCCTCCAGACCATTCTCCAGCTTGGCTTTCTAAGATGCAGGTCTGGATGACAGGAGCACGATGGAAGCCTAAATGTAACTCACACCACTTTTCCTCCCTGGCATGTTTTTGTTCTTTATTTCATACAAAGCAACAAAGAGAACAAATAAAATATTCCATAACCTACACCTTCAGCAAACTCTGAGAAAATGCTCAAAGTCCAAATGATATAGAAGTGCAAGGGTGAAAGAATATCCCAAACCAGCAGAATGAGTGCAGAAAGCCACAAAGACAGGAAGAACAGAAGCTTCAGATTGGTCCTGGCTTTAGCAAAACTGAGAAACCATCTGAAAATATTTATCTGTAGAACAGGGTCTCCCCCTGAGTGGGAACTGCTGTGGTCAGATCGGAGATCAAGCATTGCAGGAGATGTGGAAAAAAGGAAAATGTGAAAAACACTTCTTAAGGACGGAGGATTGTCTGGGAAGTCATGGGCAATATTCCTTGACGACTCTGGTGTAACGGGTAGCAAAGAAGAGATTATTGGTGATAGAAGCTCTTGAAATAGAATAGGATCCAAGTATTATTATTTTTTTTAATTAAAAAAAAATTGGGGGGGCCGGCCCGGTGGCGCACTCGGTAGAGTGCGGCGCTTGGGAGCGCAGTGGCGCTCCCGCCAAGGGTTCGGATCCCATATAGAGACCGGTCCGCTCACTGGCTGAGCGTGGTGTGGGCGTGACACCGAGGGTTGTGATCTCGTTGCCAGTCGTGGTACGGGTGCGACACCGAAGGTTGCGATCCCGTTACCAGTCACGAAAAAAGACAAAAAAGGAAAAAAAAAAAATTTTGTAAAAGATGACCGGTAAGGGGATCTTAACCCTTGACTTGGTGTTGTCAGCACCACACTCTCCCGAGTGAGCCACGGCCCAAGTATCATATTTTTAAAAACAGTCCATTACTGTAGCAGTAGAAGAGGGAGCTTGCTACAAATCAAGGAAAATTATAACAGCATTCAAACACAAATTTAAAAAAGCAAGCAAGCAAGCAAAACTTAAAGCAATTATAACTTTTACAGCAATAACAGGAACATGACAGGGCAGAAATAGAAGAATTTCAGATCCCTGTACCAGCCAGCTGCCAAAAAAAAATAGAGGAATTCAAAGGTTATGTCAAAATAATAGGATAACGGGCCGGCTCGGTGGCGCACTCAGTAGAGTGCGGCGCTTGGGAGAGCGGCGGCACTCCCGCCAAGGGTTCGGATCCCATATAGAGACTGGTCTGCTCACTGGTTGAGCGCAGTGCGGGCGCGACACCAAGGGTTGTGATCCCGTTGCCGAGAGCAGTGCGGGCGCAACACCGAGGGTTGTGATCCCGTTGCCGAGCACGGTGCGGGCGCTACACCGAGGGTTGCGATCCCGTTGCTGGTCGCGGTATGGGCGCAACACTGAGGGTTGTGATCCCGTTACTGGTCACGAAAAAAGACAAAAAGGAAAAAAAAATAATAGGATAAGAGTTATCTTAGAGGGGAGAGAAGGGGGCAAGATAAGGAAGGAGTGCTGGAGGGGCTTCTATGGTGCTAGAAATGTTCTATTTTTTGAACTGAGTAGTAGCTTTACAGAAGTTTACTTTGTAATAATTCATTAAGCTGTACGCTCATATTTACTTTTCTGTTTGAGTGTTATTTTTCATGATCAAATTGTTTAAAAATAAGTTAATATTTAGGGCTGGCCCGTGGCTCACTCAGGAGAGTGCGGAGCGGATAACACCAAGGCCAAGGGTTTGGATCCCTATATAGAGATGGCTGGTTGGCTCACTTGGGACAGCATGGTGCTGACAACACCAGGTCAAGGGTTAAGATCCCCTTACCAGTCATCTTTATATAGGGAAAAAAATAAAAAATAAAAATAAGTTAATACTGGCCGGCCCGGTGGCGCACTGCTACAGTGTGCCACTTGGGAGCGCGGCGGCGCTCCCGCCGAGGGTTCGGATCCCACATACAGACCGGTTCCCGCTCACTGGCTGAGCGAGGTGCGGGCGCAACACCGAGGGTTGCGATCCCGTTGCCGGACACGAAAAAAGACAAAAAAAAAAAAAAAAAGTTAATATTTTAAATTATTTTCAGTGTAAGTGAACAATTCTAAAAATAAGAGAAGTAAAAACAATGCTAAACTTAAATAGGAAATATTCTATACAAAGTTACGATGTAAAAAATTAAAGTTCTCTAGCTCTGTCCCCTAAAATAGCCTATAGAAGCAATTGTCACTCTAATAATAATGAGTACCCCTAGTTCTCAGATTTTATTCTCTAATTCTATACCTTACTAAAAGGAAGAGCCTTCTCTGGAAACTTCCTGACTCCAAGTCTGGGACAAGGAATGGTAAGGTGAGTCTGGTACATCTTGTGCCAGAAAATAAGGGAGGCTTCAAAGAAAATTAGGATTATGCCAAAAGGACACAGGTTCGGATCCCCATACCAGCCAGCCACCGCCAAAAAAAGAAAAAAGGCCGCAGACATCAAGGAAAGATGATAGCGTAGGAGTGAGAGACATGAGGAATCTGTCTCCCCACTAAGATAACGATTGTATTGGCAGAATCTGTCTGCTATAAGTATTTTGGAAGAATAGAGTCTGTTAAAGGCTTGCAACTTTCAGGGGAAGGCTTGGACAATAAATTGCAGTTAATTTTGGTCAACTAAAGCTCTTAGGTAGGTAGTGACTACCCACATACACCCCATGTACAGAAGCAACTTGTACACAGCTTGCAGGAGCCAGAGTGGGCAATAAAAACCTGTCCTCCAAATATTGAGGATCTGTGTTCTGGTTGCTAATTGCTGTTTCTGATCATGAGGTGCAGACATGTCGCAACCCCCACTCCTTCAACTGGAGGGACTTCCAGGGTATTTAAAGGGCTGGCAGCTGTTTTTTGTCTTCCTCCATTTTTCCCTTTTAGGGAGCCAGACATTTAAGAACTAGGACATTCAAAAGTAACCACATACGTGGGAGAATTTAGAAAGTCACCAGGCAGGGCCGGCCCGTGGCTCACTCGGGAGAGTGTGGTGCTGATAACACCAAGGCCCCGGGTTCGGATCCCATATAGGGATGGCCGGTTTGCTCACTGGGTGAGCATGGTGCTGACAACACCAAGTCAAGGGTTAAGATCCCCTTACCGGTCATCTTTAAAAAAAAAAAAAAAAAAAAAGAAAGTCACCAGGCATACCCAGGAAAAGGCACTGGCTTGAAAAAGTTCTAAGAAGACCTTCAGTTATTACCACAGGCTGATCCTGGCAGAGGCACCATACAACAACAAAAACTAAAACCAAAACAGCAAACCCTGGGGAAGAGGGAGAATCTGATTTCCACAGTTACCAGATTATCAGATGCAAACATCCAGTGTTCAAAAACAATAAAAAATCACAAGACATATTTAAAAAAAAAAAAAAAAACAGGAAAGTATGGCCCACTCAAAGGAAAAGAATAAATCAATAGAAAGCATTCCTGAGAAAGACCAGATGGTGCACTTACTAGAAAAAGACTTGAAAACAACTGTCCTGGGCTGGCCCATGGCTCACTTGGGAGAGCGTGGTGCTGACAACACCAAGTCAAGGGTTACGATCCCCTTACCGGTCATCTTTAAAAAAAAAAAAAAAAAAACTGTCCTAAAGATGCTCAAAGAGCTAAGAGAAGATATGAAGTAAAAAAAAATTTTTTTAAGTGTATAGAAATATAAAGAGATAGAAATCATAAAAGGAAATCAAAAAGAAATTCTGGAGCTGAAGAGTATAATAACTGAAATAAAAAATTGACTAGAAGGACTCGAAAGTAAATTTGAAGTAGGCAGAAAGAAGAATCACTTGGGCCGGCCCGGTGGCGCACTGGATAAGTGCGCCGCTTGGGAAGCGCCGCGGCGCTCCCGCCCGAGGGTTCGGATCCCACATACAGACCGGTTCCCGCTCACTGGCTGAGTGAGGCGAATCACTAAACTTGAATACAGTACTATTGAAATTATCGAGTCTGAGAAACAGAAAAAAGATTAAAGATAGAGATTGAGGAATCTGTGGGACAACATCAAGCAGATCATCATACATATTGTACGAGTTTCAGAAGAAAAAGAGAGAAGGGTTGAGAGATTTTTTTTTTAAGAAATAATGGCTAAAATATCCCCAAATTTGATGAACGACAAATACAAACATCCAAGAAACTCAAGAAAATCCTAGAACAGTCAGCCCTCCATATGCATGGGTTCTACATCTACAAATTCAACTAACCATGGATTAAAAATATTCAAAAAACCAAAAAATATCCCTGTACCAGCCAACTCAAAAATAAAAAATATGGCCAGTTGGGCCAGCCCATGGCTCACTTGGTAGAGTGTGGTGCTGATAACACCAAGGCCACGGGTTCAGATCCCTATGTAGGGATGGCTGGTTAGCTCACTTGGGAGAGCGTGGTGCTGACAACACCAAGTCAAGGGTTAAGATCCCCTTACTGGTCATCTTTAAAGAAAAAAAAAAAAAAAAAAAAAGGCCAGTTAGCTCAGTTGGTTTGAGCACAGTGCTGATAAAACCAAGGTCCAGGGTTTGATCCCTGTACTGGCCAGCTGCCAATAAGAAAATAAATAAATAAAAATAACAATAGAATGACAAAAAATACAGCATAACAACTGTTTACATAGCATTTACATTATATTAGGTATTATAAGTAATCCAGAGATGATTTTAAAGTATACAAGAGAATGTGTGTAAGTTATACTCATGTAAGGGACTTGAGCATCTGGGGATTTTGGTATCCAGAGAAGTCCTGGAACCAATACCCCAAGGATACTGGGTGAGGGACAACTAGGATAAACTCAAAGAGACCTATAGGACACTTTATAATCAAACTGTTGAAAGCCCAAGACAAAGAGAGAATCTTGAAAGTAGCAAGGGAGAAGTGAGTTGTCACTCATAAGGGATCCCAAATAAGGTTACCAGCAGACTTCTCATCAGAAATCTTGGATTCCAAAAGGCAGTGGGTTGATATATTCAAAGTGCTGAAGGAAAAATATATATGGGTAAAAACACATATCTGAATTGATGCAGAAAATGCATTTGATAAAATCCAATACCTTTTCATGATTAAAAAAAGAACCACTCAAAAAACTAGGAATAGAAGGAAACTTCCTCAAGATAATGGGTATTTATAAAAAACCCAGCTAACATCATACTGAATAGTAAAAGACTGAGGCTTTTCCTCTAAGACTGGGAACAAGAAAAGGGTGTCCGCTCTTGCCACTTCTATTCAACATAGTACTGGAAGTTCTAGCCAGAACAATTAGGCAAGAAAAGAAATAAAAGAATCCAAATTGGAAAGGAAGAACTTAGGGCCAGCCTGTGGCTCACTCGGGAGAGTGTGGTGCTCATAACACCAAGGCCATGGGTTCAGATCCTATATAGGCATGGCCGATTAGCTCACTGGTTGAGCATGGTGCTGCAAAGGAAGAAGTTAAGTTATCTCTATTTTCAGATGATATGATCTTTTAGGTAGAAAACCCTAAAGATCCCACACAAAAAAACCCCAATTAGAACTAATAAATTCAGGGCCGGCCCGGTGGCGCACTGGAGAGTGCGCCGCTTGGGAGTGCGGCGGTGCTCCCGCCGAGGGTTTGGATCCCATGTGGAGACCAGTTCCCGCTCACTGGCTGAGCG